ACCATAATACACGGACTTGATGACGACTCCCACTGTATAGCCTGTGTACTTACGCGCTTCACGACGAATGAAAGAGCAACAGGTGGCTCTTATAAATATATCTCGAGAGCCCGCATCTCGAGCGTCCCCTGAGCAGCATGATACAAAGGAATCGTACAACAACGGGCACCTGAACCGCTCCCATCTATCCCTAGCAATGTTCCCCCAACCACAAGTCATCTACCAGCTCTCATCGGCCCTTCCCCATGCGGACGTCTCCCTAGTCAAAGACGAAGATCTGGCACCAGCATGCCTCCTCCCGACGACGCCAGGCCCACTCTCAAAGGCTGTATGCCACGGCAAGGCCGCATCGACAGGATCGATCGTATGCCTCCACCTAGCCGTGGCTCTGGAAGCAGGTCCTGTTTCGAGGCCGGGTATCGGTTCGTCTACAGATGGCAGGGCCGGTGCGTCACCGTCGGTGGGCGAGCCAATAGACGGTAGCGGGGACCATGCCGTATATTCCTCCGGCAATTCGGATGTCCAACCGTCGTTTCGCCTGACGTTGTTCTGAAACCCTCTCCGCGTAACCCTCGCACCGAGCGCCGGCTCTTCGTGGTCATGCTCGTGTTCATCACTTCTCGGGAAAGCTGTTGTTCTGCGTGCTGGGCCGGGGAGCTCGGAGAGATCGGAGGAGGAACGGAATGTGCCTCTTGAGCGGGCTAGGAAGCGAGGGCGAGCCGACGAGGTGTTTATGCTAGGGAGAGCGTGATGTAAGGGCGGCGCAGGCACAGGTGGCGGAGGTGTTGGGTAAGGCAAGTCCGGTCGAGATCGGCGGATATGGTCGCGCAGAGAGGAGGGTCTTGCTGTTATGGAGGAGGTGAGCATAATTCAAGAGAAAGAAGTAGAATAGACACATACTCGGAACAGAGCCCATTGCGTCCCAAATCTCAGAGTTTAAGCGTGCACCCTCGACAGCACCCACAGGGTCGAGCGCAGAATCTGTGCTATCCCCGTCCTCGTCCACAGCCAAGTCATCAGGAGATGGGACGGCAAGATATTCGTTCATGCTGAAGCCTCGGCGATATAAAGCTGATGATGGAGGTGGCCCAACGCGCGTGGGTCGCGGACGGTAGACTCGGCTGGGCGCGGCGAGCATCCGGAGTCCCCTGGAAGTCACGTCGGATATCAGGCGCTTATCTTCGGCATTTTGACGTGCGCGACGAGTTGATACTTCCTATAGCAGAGTGGATTTGTTAGAGGAGTCTAGGAGACGCGTCGAAAAATATATGAGACATACCTGGACTAGCACGTCCACCAGAGATGTCGTGAACGAATCTCCCGCGTCCAGCTCCTCCACGAACTGTTTGTAGGAGATAGTATGTCCAGCACGGTCTTCGAGTTCAGCCCTTCGGATTGAGCCGGTACTGAAAGAGACACAGAAGCGTCAGGATATGGGTGGCGAGATAAGTAGTGTGGTGGCGGACGCACACTAGGCTTTTGATTTTGGAACCGAGGACGTCGTCGTAATGTTGTGATGTCCTTTGACATTTCAGTACATCTTTCCAGAGGTATGCGAGGGTATAAAGCACCATTTGCCCATTGTGAATGTATGAAAGGGGGATGAGTGTATTGGAAGAAGGCAGGAAGTGATCCCGCGCGCCGAGTGTGGATGGCCTGGGAGCGCGTTGATGATATTTGGCCGTATTTGTCATCGAGGGTGCGTGATCAACAAAGGCGTTATTCGCTCTTGTCACGGGCAGCCATGGTCAGTACGTATAGGAGGAGCGGTCTACCTATACGCGTCATACATAGTCGATACGTACGACTCGTAGCGATACGTAGTGGATAAGAGGTACTGTCCCGTGAGATATGACGATACGGATTTTCTTGTGCCAAGTGACGGCCTCGTCGCCACTCGCAGCCGAACGTGCAACGCGCGCTATCGATCTAGCGACTCTCACATGAGACATGGGAGAGGCAGTACGGATCGTATATCTATACCGATGTATGCCACGAGCAAGCCAACATATATGTATGTGCTACGTTGAATGTACTGGACTTGTAATGACTGCTGCTGTACATGGCGACGCACGCGTTCGCCTGGAGACGAAAGTGATCATGGCTCTTAACCCGAACCATCACCACAGGCGGAAACGCCTCCTGCCCTCATACATCACCTCATAGGTCTTATTCGGACCGTATGGCCTCAGAAGAACCTAATCGTCTTCCTCCTCCAACAGCAGTTCCCAATTACCGCGCAGTAATCATGAAACCCGCCGTGCAACTTCCCGATCACAACCTACACGAATCGCCGCACACGCGCGGTATAACCATACACGGCTGGACCATCAACGCCACGACAAAGCCGATCTCCAGCGCATCCGAGCTCGATGCTTTACAGAGTTCGCTGGGAGGTTTGCCGTTGCCGGAGATGACGTTCGGGAGCAATGCGTTGGAGCTGGTGCATGGACCTAGCGGGTGGAAATATGTGTTTGAAACGGAGGGCGCGCTAAGAGGCGTGAAGAATGGCGAGTTGGGCGAGGGCGATGGAGGTGTGAAGGTCGGTTATGCGGATGAGTGGTTGAAGAGCAGGTACGTTCGTGTGCTTGAGCTGAAATATCGGCGTTAATCGGCGTGTTGTAGGACAGTGCCCGACTCTTCAATCCCGTTGCCCAAAACAGAACCTACGAAACCGTATGACTGGACATACACCACCACATACGCAGGTCGTTCAGACTCCGAAGAGCCAGCAACGGAATGGCTACCTCAGGATCCTATGACGAGCAACTATGGCATTCCTATAGCAGAGCTCACGCGTCCGGATCCGATCCTGTTCTATGCTGAGATTCCATTGTATGAGGACGAGCTGCACGATAACGGCGCGTCGAGCTATCTGGTCAGGATTGTGCGTTGTCTTCCTGATCGCTTTCGACGGTGCTGTGAGCTGATGCACGGCGTACAATAGCGCGTCATGCCAACGTGCATCTTCATACTCGCTCGTGCAACACTACGAGTTGACAACGTATTGTTCCGCGTGCATGATACGAGGATCTACCACTCCTTTGCATCGGCGCCACCCGCCATCGTACGCGAAACGAGCGGCTGGGAGGCACCATATGCTCATGTAGCACAAGTACGCCGCCCCACTCCACCTATGTCCCCTCTGAAGTACTGACTGGGTATGACCTTATCCGCAGCGTCTGCCCAAACGAGATGACAAGACGCCTCTGACAGACCCCAACTTCATCGGCAAAGTGCTCGCGGATATGCCCAAGGAATCGACGCAGATCGCCGGTGCGGGCACGAAATGGCGTGGACTAGGGACGAAGCTCGAGGTCGCGATGCTGCCGCAGTCTCAATCATCATAAACCTGTGATAACTGTAGTGCTGAACACAGAAATCAAAATGTACTCTATCTAGATGTTCTCGGACGCATCGTCTGTCGTCATAGCGCGAAAACCATCGTCGGTCAGTTCAGTAATGTTTGTGGCACACCGGACGGCGTCTCAGGAGCAAGCTGTGTATCCTGGTCGCTGCGCGCTCTGCGCTCTTGATTGGCCAAGATACACGTACTGTCTATGCTGGACGTGATGGCTGGACGAAGTGGAAAGAACGGCGTACATGATCTCCACGGCCTGGTATAAAGTCAAAAGTGAAGAGCCTACAATAAGTAGGTTGTGAGCACTTGACTGCACGGAGAAAAATGGATGAACCAGTAAATTGACGACAGTGGGATTCGAACCCACGCCCTTTCGGACTAGATAGGTGAAACAACCTGATTCTAGCGCCTTAGACCGCTCGGCCATATCGCCATTAACGTGTGTAGGCTTTGAATTAATTCCAGTGATCTTAGTATGCCTGAGGAATCATGATCGTCGCATGCATATTTCACTCCACGCTCTTCCGTACCATGACTGTCGGCTTCCTCGACCTCAATGAAGATGTCCTACGCGCTATTACTGAGGCAGCCGCCCTTGTACACCGCCCGCACTGGGGGTTTGCTGGGTGCCATCCCACTCACGACTGGGTGCCGCCTGCACTCTCTAAGTCAAAGGCCGACTTGGACGAGGACTTCTATCCCGACAAGCGCTTCTGTCTCGGATGGATTTACCTATCGCACGTCAATAGACGGTTGAGAGCCGTCGTTCTCGACTGTCCCGCCTTATGGGCTAGTAGCACCCTGGCTTTACCGTCGCGCGATAGTGACGAGGAGATACTCTCTCGTTCGCGCAAGATGCCTCTTCAGATCCGTATCCCCGCGGAACGCTGGCGCACTCGGGATGATAGACGCCGGGCGATTCGCGCTAGGGCACCGTTTGCATCCATGGTCATGGGGGACGCAGATATTATAGACGTCAGAGAATACAGCGGGTTGAATTGGATGAACCTCTTTGACGAGCACCCTACATTGCGGCACCTCGCATTGGACCAACGAGACTCAACGCGCATCCGCATGGACATCAACGCTCCAAACTTGGTCAGCTTGGTCTTGCACGGAGCGATACCCGTCTTTCCTACTGCTTTGTCGTCTCTTAGGGAGCTCGACATCAGGGGCTGTCATGAGGTGCCTTCTGTACCATGCGAACCTTGTGGCGTGACGTTGTTGCGCGCCCTCGATCGTACTCCTGTACTCGAGAGGTTGATACTCGTCCTCGATTCCATCCACAACCTCGCGCCAGGGCACAACGGCAACGTCCCCAAACTGCCGATATCGCTGCCTTACGTGCGTGAAGCATCTATCCGTTTCACGGGAAAAGGCACTCGCCATTCTTCCCTAGTGAATCCATGGACATACGTCAAAGCGCCAGATTGTGCCGCTGTATCTCTCGTATATGGGACGCAGATGGTTGACTGGGCCAGTGTGCTTCCCACCACTGCACACCAGTTGTTTTCAAACGTGCACGATCGAGTCAGTCTTACGGTTGCCAAACGCATCATAGTATCGGCCAATCACGGAGAATCCGAACGAGGCCATTTGGGTGTCCGCTTCCAACAGGACGCCAGCCTTACCAGTTACGAGCTGATTGCTCTATTGCCCACGTACCTGCAGGTCGAATCCATCAAATCCGCTCATCTGATACTGAAAGATCGCACTTGCCACTTTCACGTTCGAAGCACACTACGACATTGTCTTGCAGCATTGACCGGCGTGTCCACTATCACGATGGAGACGGGCAGTGACACGATAGAGCAGATGTGCGGGCTTCTGGACGAGATCACCTTAACTGGGTGCAACCTTCCATCGCTGCATACCCTCGACATTCGTGTTTCGCGGGACAACGAGAAGGCAATAGAGGCCAGGAACGTGCCCCTTCTATGGCAAGCGACGATTTCGCTCTTAACATCGTCAGCGGAGCGGCACAATACGCGAGTGTCGCGCTTGATCTTATCGGGAAACTGGCAGATCGGCGGGGAGGATCAGGAGGCGCTTGGACTCGTAGATGCAGAGATGAAGAAGTTTGCAATTGCGTGCGTTGGCGAGGTTGTAGATGCACGGGACGGGTGATGTACTCATATTATTCAAATCGACATGTCATTCGACAATACAATACTCAGGATCGCGGTAGTAGTCTACATTGCACATAGATGATCTATACCAAGGGAGTCTTACTCAGGACTATTGTCTCAACGAACGCCAGAAAGGCATTTTCATCATCCAGGTACATGTTCAGAATCTTCTTGCGCTCTTTGCCCTTTTGCTTGCTGCTGAGCGCCTGGTTCTTGAAACGGACGAAGGCGGTATGAGCAGATTCCCTAAGGGTCCATTAATAAGACAAGCAGGACTGTAGCCGCGCACATCAAACTCACAGATGATTCAGCAATTGATGTCGGTTTCGATGCATCACACAGCCAGGGCGCACATCTCTGCCGGAGAGACCAAGTGGGCACTGTAAAGGCTTTGTTGGGTCCTTCATAGAGCGTGATATGTTTGATCTCTGCAGGCTCAAATAACGATTGGCGGTCTTGGTAAGCTGTTCGTCATCACCAGTATTCGGACGTTTACAAGGCACAAGGGATTTTGTAGGCTTTTGTGGCACAGGAGGTCGTGGGGCTGAACTGGTAGCGACCGGCTGTCTTCTTGGAATAAGGGGTGAGCGATCCAGTACTGGTGATATGTGTGCCTCTGGGATTTCTCCCGGCTCAAGGTCATCGTTGTACTCCGTATCAGCATCGGGACGAACATCATCAAGGTTGTCGTTGAGAGAATGACTGTCTAATGACGGGTCAATCACAGGTGTAGAACGTGAGACTGAGACTGAAGGGGAGGCAGAAGAGGGAGGAATGTCGGGACCAGATGATGCAGGGTACAAAGGATGTTTGGCTTTACTCGTTGCTGTCGTGAGGTGTCAGTGGCAGACTTCGCTACTGGCATAGGGACGGCCGATGTCACTCACGAAGCAGAGACCACCATTGATCCTCGCCCAGATCTCCCCAGTTCCCCAATAATTCCAAGTTCTCCAATGAAGGCATCTCAAATGCCCCAATTTCTTTCACGAAGCGCTCTATATCGAGGTCGGGGTCAGGCCCTGTGGGCTTCTTAGGCTTGCAGCGGGCAACCATCTGAGTAAGTGCGTAGATGAAAGTTAAGCGCGGGAGGTTATGCTCTCGGCGCATAGTGCGTGCATTCCACTGCATGCAGTCGTATATCAGTACGGATGCAGAAGTGAAGCTGATCCAGCTACGCACAATTTCTACAATGAAAGCCTTCGCGTACTCTACCTGCGAGGACTCGGGAGCTCCCTTCAGCGCGCGTAGAGCAGCACCCACACGCGCCACAGCTCGAGAATAACCTTCCATTCAGTCCGTCCCGTGAGGGTGGCTATGGTGAGGATGGCAAGAGACACTCGGGATGCGATAACACGAGTTGGAGGCGAGAGAGAAAGACGCGAACGGGCCAAGCCACAACCGTGACATGGGCCATACGGCGCTAGCCGTTGCGTGTGACACCGACCGAGGCAAGGCCGAGGCGTGGTCGCAGCAAGCTCTGTTTTCGACCACCATCACCACGCCCTTTGCTTCACGGCACGAATTGCAGTACCCAAACGCACTCTATCGTAAATGAACTCAATGCGCATGCGTCCTTCGTACTCGGACGATACGCATGGTTATATGACCTTGGCCAAATACTGATTGGGATTGTTGAATGCTGAATGATATGCGAAGAGTATGATTCCCTTCCGGCTATGAATGAGAGCTTGCTACACTAGGGGCGCTGGACTTATGACTGTGTCTTCTAAGAGCTTCAAGAAAGCAACATCGTCGTCTGGGTGCGTCTTGAGAATCCGCATTCGCAGGATGCACAGGTCCTTCTTTGATGTACCCTGGTGTCTGAAACGAACATAAGCAGCATGTACGGCCTCCCTAGTACAATTTGTAAGCATTGTGTCATACCAATCAACAGAACATTGAGGGCTCACAGATGGTTGAGAAGCTGCTGTCGATCCCAATCATCCTTGCAACGACGGTGTACGTGCCTGCCGGAGCGACCAATCGGACATTGGAATACCTTCCTTAGTATGACTCCTGGTACTCCATCTCGAATCGGACGCGCCACCCGATTTGCGGGGCGCGATTTTGGACGGTAAGTCTGAGACGCAGTCACACTCTTCTTGTTTTCTGCTGTTGTAGGTCTGAGTCCATGAGTTACGATTCTTTGTGGTTTAGTTGGCTGATGAACCACAGGGTAGATTTCCGCATCCCTTCGCTCTAGGTAGAGCATCGTGCATTAGACATAGTTGAGCATGCACTGTCGGAGAACGGTGAACTCACGGGGTTCCGTTTCAAGTCCTCCTTGTTCTCCTCGTTTGTATTCAAGTAGATACTCGACATCGGACACGATAGGCCTCGAATGCGAGGGGATGTGTGGCACTTTATAGTGATGCATGGCATCTACACCAGGCATAGCATCCGGATATTTCGATATCCAAGCACAGGGAATGGAAGCCGTAGTCTTGGATGGCACTGTGGACGCTGCCATCTCCGTATCTCTGTCATTCTCTTTTCCCTTGGCGACACACATCGTCTCACTACGACCCTCAGCCAGGCGATCGTTGTTACACCGACTATTGGGTTGAGCGACAACAGGCAACACGGGTAGACAAGCATTGAGAGTATGAACACTTTTGCTCTCAAATAGGGTAGACCTATCGTCCCTTTGAGCTCTTCTTTTTGCTGAAAGGGATTAACATATGAGAATCAGATGCGGTAGTGTATAACGCGACGAAAGCACGAGTCACTCACGAAGATATCGCCACCATTGATCGGCGCCCAAATTCTCATGATACTCTTTTGCCGGAGAAACATCGAAGTCCCTCATCTCAGTCACGAAAGCCTCAACGTCTAGATCAGAGTCGGCACCCGGAGCCGGTTTGCAGCGGGCTACCATCTGCGCCAGCGCAAGCATGAAAGGTGAACGAGGGATCTTATGCTCCCTCCGCACAGTACGCGCATCCCACTGTGAGCTGTATCAACGATGATGAGATCGTGGGTTGTGAGCTGTCACTCACGAGCTCGGCTATAAATATTTTCGCGTATTCCACTTGGGAGGACTCCGGAGCGTCCTTCAACGCCCGAAGAGCGGTATCGACACGAGCTATTGCACGGCTATAGAGTTCCATGATCCGTAAAGCGCAAAGGTTGCGATGAGCCCAGGTACCCACAGGTATTCGGCGTGGCCTGATGCGCTGGATGCGGTCGGAGGAGACACGGACTGAATCACGGCCACGGCCGTACGGTCACTCGTGACACGGTTGCGTCACGCGGTCAGGACTCCTGCAGAAGGTCCTGGCTAGTGAGGTCCTGTAAGAAGTACGCTGCAATCCAGAGACTCACATAGCAGCAGGTCCTTTGCTGGCGCATGTCTTTGGAGTACAATAAAACTTGAGCGGTCACTTTTGTGCCCGAATGCCGCGCAGTAAAGGACGACGGAGTGTACTGCCAATCGCTGGATTGAAAGGTCGAGGCAGCGTACTCTCCCTAAAGACTTTCTTCTGTGTATACTACGAAAGGAATACGCGCGCCGAGCGTTCCCGGTCACGGCGACTCTACCCATAGGTATATGAGCAAGGTGTCCATCCGTGCACCAAACGTCCGGTCGATGGCATCCCGGGCACCGTCTTCCAGGGACTCGGCAAAAGATGACCGATATAGGCACGATTGCAGGAAGCCAACCAGAGGAGTAAAGAATTCGATACTTATAGATCGCGAAAGAAGTCCGTGCACATACAACTACATCGTTTATACCTATCCTCCCCGCGCTCGTCCAAAACCTGCTCTCTGTCTCGACTGCAACATCGCCCGAAAACTCCGACCCTGTCTCTAGATCTCATCGACAGACATTCAACCTTGCGCCGAGCCATTCATGCGCAGATTGGCTGGCAGAGGAGGTACAGGAGGGATCGCGCGGCCGTTGGGTGCAGGGTGGTCTTCGTCCATGCGATCCGGGTCACTGCTGTCATCAACGTCAGCGACGCCGCTGTCTTCGTCGTCCTCATCCATCATCTCACGGGCACGCTAGAGATAAGATCACGAGTCAGATTGAGTTGTGTAGAGCAAGTACTCGAGAGAGCGCACCTTCATGGCCTCAGCCTCGTTGGAGTAGTGCCGGCCTCGTGCACGCACGAAAGCGGCATGTTTCTCGGCGGCTACGAGATACAATTAGTACGCCGACTCCAGACCGCACAGCGGATCGGACTTACTCTCCGGGTCCATCTCCTCTTCCTCTTCAACCTCGCCACCTTCGGCACCAACGACTATGAAGTCACCCCGCGCATCGGATGGAAGTGTGAAAGACGTGCTGCGGCTGGAGGAACGAGAGCTCGAACGAGCGTTACTCGACACAGATGGGCGCCGGGAAGACGGAACGCTTCCGGATCCAGACGCGGTAGCTTCAGCAGTGACTTCTGCGGGTTCCATAGTAGCAGCTTTGGGCGACGATAGCGGAGAAGAGCTGGTGGCGCGCTCGCCGGTCAGAGAGAAGTTGGGTATATCTAGCACATCGCCACAGTTGAGCGCCGTTGAGAGTCTTTCATACAGAAGAGATCGTCTTACCACCTTCTACTTCGTCAAGTTCGGCGTTATAGCGAACGTAGGGCGTCTTGGGCTCGGTAATCTTCATTTGACTATCCTTTTGAGCCTCGGTGAGCGCAAGGTTCTCCTCATCCCACTGCAGACTGATCGGAGTTAGGTAGAGTCATAGGTCAGGTAAGATATATATACTTACTGCTGTCCAGGAGCGGCGGGCGGCGTGGGTAAAGTTGGGGCTGGCGCCGGGGCGTTCTTGAGGATACCCTTGGGTTTCACAGACGAAGACGCCGAGCGGCTTGGTGGGCCCGGATGAACGGGCGGGGTACTCGTAGGGGTATCGTCAGACATGATCAAGCAGTATGGTTCGTGAGTATATAGTGAGTCAGGTGTCAGCGGGCAGATGGTGGTCGATGGCAAGGTAGCGCCAAGACGGTCATGTTGGGTATGGGGCACGAGGCGTGGGACACAAATGATGCCGCTTGCAGGCGCGAGCGGGCTGGCTCTTTGTTTCTCTCATCTTCTAGCACGGCCGGTGACCTCGGTGACCTTGATTCTGGGCAATCCGACTAGACTAGCATGCGCAGATGTCATACGACTTCGGGCTGTTGTCTCTTCGTATAAGACGGATGTTTCTTGAGTCGCAATAACAAGTCGAGTGACTCGACGTACGGTGACTCGGGAGGGCCTCCCCTCACAGTAGGGCAACGCCTAGTCTCCACGCAGGTAGGGCAACGCCGACGACTGTGCTTGCTCTCGTTCATGGCTGTGTATGCGCAGTATAGCAGCTAGCGTGACTTTTGGGCACACAACGACACACGAGTCATGTCTCTATCCATGCGCCTCTGGCAAGTGGCTGCTACGAAAGGCTATAGGTTTTCCACTATCCAGTGACCCAGCTTACGCCACAATTGCGGCTCACTCCCCTCTGAGTCGTCGATACTTGGCTACTCTTATACAAGTGCGCGCGAGCACGCTTCGGAGTTAACTCCGTCACCCATCCGCAGGAAGGTAGCCGTCGTGCCGCGGCTCGATTCTGGTCACCGGAAATCCGAGCGCTGCTGGAGGCGTATAAGGCCGATACCCGAGCGCGCAAGCTCACCATACCTCTTTCGAGATGCTCGGTCTCGTCATTCGCGGCATCGTCAAACGCAAGAAGGAGAAGAAGAAAGCCGCGAAGGAGGAAGCAGACCGCATGTACTCGCAAGCGGTGCAGTACTCGCAGGTTAGTCTGAGCCGCTCGCGTGTGAAGGGATACCACTTTTAACGTTATGCTAGCACCAACAAACCGCTCAGCAGGGTCACCAAGGTCATACCAGCACGTCATCCAGAGCGCATACCCAGAGCAAGAGACATTGATATCAGCCCGGGGGGTGCGTGTGCAAGGGCTTAGTACGAACGGTTCATCAGCTAACTTTGCTCGCAGTACAACCGTCTTCACGTCTTCATTAACACCTAATACGCACGGTCTTTGAACACATCCGTTGTGACTATTGTCGTCCTACGCTACTCTAGGCCCTGGCCGCTCATGCGTGTCCATGAGGCATGGTCTTGCTATGCGCACACGGCGCGTTCGCTGGATTCGATGAACTGAGACATGTTCCGTCCCGAGCAATGCGCAATATCCTCAACTACTTTGGCGGACATGTACGTGGGGTAGGCGCCCAATGTGCACAAGACTGTCATATCTGCACTGCTGTCCTGTGCATGGACGCCGTCGGAAGATTGCTATCCATCGCTCCCTTCGTTCATGCGTCGGTGTGGCGGTTATCGCGCCCATATATCTTGTGTAAGACTATGAGGAGCGCAGGGACCGCGTGAAACAGGTATACCTCCGAAGCTGGTGACCCCGGAAGCACTATTTCGAGTTAGATTGCTCTGTTATGCGCTTGGAGGCTCATATAGCAGGTGCTGCAGCGAGACAGACTTGAAGCACGCCCACTACTACCACCAATTCATACTCATCACCATGGCTCTCGTCGCAGTCGGAATGATAGGCGTTGCTGCCTATCAAGCTGTTTCAAAGAGGAGAGAGGTCAAGCGGTCGTTACAAGAGCAGGAGGCGCTCATGGCAGCGGGTGCTGTCCCTGTCCCCTTCCTCGAACAGGTACGTTGTCTACTTCGCCCAGATAAGCGCTTGCTGAACTCCCCGCCATAGGCATCTCCCATTACCCCGAGCGAGACAGACTCGGAGAGCCCCACGCCGAGCCCATCCATCTCGCGATATCTATCCTCAGCCTCGAAGATCATCCCCTCTCGCTCCTCATCGGCAACAACGCGCCAGTCAATCGGCAGTAGCTCTGCAACGCCTACTTCGCCGCGCGTCAGCTCAGCTCCTGAAGTCGCGACGATTCACGTAGACGAGCCGCGGAGCCCGTCGCGGAGGATTGGGAGGACACTCAGGAGGCATCTCAAGCGGGAGGAGGCAACACGCGAGGAGTCTTTTGAGATCGATCCCGCGGATGAGGCACCGCCGCCCTCGTACCAGGAGGCCATGTCTTCCACCTCGTCAGTTCGCAGACAGCTTGCAATTGCGGGTACCAGTGAAGAGCAGACTGCATCGCATCCAAGGTTGACATAGTGTGTGTACTACCAGTAGCGTCATGGACTACGACTTGTACTTTGCTATCACTCCAGTCCGTATAGTACGAACTCCTCGGCCTTCGGTACCTCGGTCTTCGTGAGTACCCTAATATGTCACCATCGAGTCAATCGAACATGCGTCCCTGGCGAAGCAGAACGGAACCGCTAAAGTTAGCACCGAGCAGCGCCCATCTCATCACTGCCAATACAACTCGCCCGGCGATGGGTCGGGCGTGATCCACGTCTTTGCATCCCGCCTCCACGGGCTCCAGCCTCGGGTTGGCATCGCCATACACCCTCGGACGTATACATACCACTCTACGAGCTGTCGTCAGCGATAGAACCAGCGCACACTATAACTATACCCGGACTCACGATATCGACTCCGAACACGTCATGCCTATCATATTTCTTGTCCGCGGCGTGAAATGGACGGTGAAGAAGGGCTACAAGATGTACACAGACCACAAGGACGGTAAAGCATTGGAGGAGCAGATGAAGGAGGAGGAAGAGTTCCAGCGCGCGCAACCTCAACCGTTCATGGAGGTGAGCCATCATATTCTCCCGAATATCCTTTGTCTGACAGGACGGGCGCTTAGCACTTGGCAACGCCCGGACCCTCCAGTGCCGGTATCGACGTCGCCATCGAACCCGCACCTGCAGAAGCATCCACATCTCGTGCAGCTGTGAACATTCCAGGTGCCATGGAAGAGCCCATCGACGCCGAGACGCTGGCGCTGGCAAGGTCGATCCAGCGGGAGCGCTCAAAGGCGAATGCCAAGTCGCGCGCTAATCAGCAAGAAGCGCCGGACGTCGGGCGCGAAACTGTTGATGGTGACGAGCCGCCGCCGCCAGCGTACGAGGAGGCTATCGCGACACATGGCACCGGATCGTCGTTGGGTGTCTCGAGCCCTGGCGGTGCTTCCTTGCGAGCGTCGCCGCGCCCATTGCCAGTGCCATCTCCGAGTCCGAGGATCCCCTAAGAAGAGTGGGGAGTAGTCCGAGGACGGACGAGGTTCTTGCGTCGATTGATTCGTCGTACCTTTGTACTTGTACCTATCCTCCAGTTCATCATTTTCTTTCCCTTGATGCCGGCCAACTGAGGCCTGCTGTGAAGCTCATGTTCGCTTGTAAGGAGCAATCTCCGCTGACGCTCGCTTTCTATGTACGTTCTTACGTTGAGCGTGATCATGTCGGACATACAACTGTACAGAGCAGGGGCGGCACATTGTGTGCGCCCAGCGACAGTGTTTCTTACAACCCACGAAGTACGAAGCATTCGTATAACTCCATTGAGGCATATGCATTATTAGATTTTACAGGTATACACGGCGAAAAGGCACTGGTCAAGAGTCCAGGTAAGTATATGTGCGATCAAACCTCACGAGAGTAATCGGGTGGTGCTTCTCCATTATGCTCACCCGACGGCTGTGCTCCTTGCAAGAATCGGCTGAGGGCGTGTACAAGGCCAGGTAAAGCGCGAACGGCTTCTTCGGTATCCGATGGAGGCTGCACGCTCGAGCCCGAGAGTGCGTCCGACGATGGTCCCGACATACCCATCTCCGAGGCCATAGGCAAGCTCGAGAAGGAGGTCTGACCCTTTGAACGAGGGGCGGTGGTTGAAGGCGCTGGCGCTGGAGCTGTGAAGGGGTTCACGGCATTGGGCGAGCCCTCCGCTGGCG